CGTTCGCGTTCGCCTTCGCCGCCGCCGCGCCCGCCATTCGATACGTCCGCCGTCTCGCCCGCAGACTCGCCCACCGCCGCTTGCTTCGGACCACCGCGCGCCGCGCCCTTCCCCCTCGCCGCCGCCGCCGCGCCGAAGAAGCCCTTTGCAAAGCCTTGCCCGAACTCGCGCGCCTCCTTTCGTATTCTCTGCGCGCTGTCCTCGCCGGCGACGCGCGACGCTTCCAGCTCCTCCTCGTGCTCCGCCGCCATCAGCGCCTCCAGGTAGTCTTCGCGCGTGGCCGCGTCTCCCGCCTTTGTAGACTGCGTTGCGCGTGCCCCGGTCATGTCCAAAAACTCCTCGCTGTCGTCCTCGAAGCTCACGTTCGCGTCCGGCGTGAAACCCTTCGGTAGCTCAACGCGCGAGGGACCGTCCGCCCCGTCCTCGAACACCTCGGTGATGTTGACCACGCCCTGCTCGAGCACCTTCTGCTCCGCCGCTCGAATCGCCGCGTCCAACTCGGATTGCACCCTGTGCGCCGTCTCCGCTTTGTCGCCTTTCTCCACCGTGCTTGACTTCTCGGCCAATACGTCCGCGCCACCGTACGGCGGAACCTGCTCGTACGCTTTCTTCGTTTCGCTTGTAGTGGTCGCTTGCGCGAGACTGGATGTAGGAGCCCTCGTCTTGAAAGAATCGTACAACTTGGAATTCCTCGACCCCTTCTTCCCCTTCTTCTTCTTGGCCTTGTCCGGCTCATACATATGCGTCACCACGGGCTCCCGAAACGACACCCTCTTCCTAACCCTATCCCTCTGCACCTGCACCTCCTCCACTCCATCGCTCTCGCCCCCTTTCAAGTCCTGCGGGGCACATCCCTCCCCGCGCGCGCCCTGCAAGGCCTCGCCCTGCAAGGCCTCGCCCTGCAAGACCTCGCGCACCACCTCCGCGGGCACGACGACCTCCCTGGCGCGCTCGCCGATGAGTGCGAGCCTGCGCTGGACAATGCCCTGTGCCTGGAGCGCGGAGCGCTCCGCGTAGTACGCGTCGTCCCCGCAGCTGCCGAGCAGCACGGTGTAGCGGTTGGTGTTGACCAGCTCGCCCGGCAGGAACAGGCGCGGCCCGACCGGGATCAGGCCCGGGTGCCGTAGCTTGTGCGGAAGCGTGAACAGCTTCTGGGCCAGATGCTCGTACCGCACGCGCTTCTGCTCCAGCTCGTGCAGGCGCGAAGACGCCTGCGCGCGCCCCGCCCCGCCCGCCGCGGCGGGGGCCATGCCAGGAAGCGCCAGAGCGAAGGCTGGAGGTCGCCGCGCAGTGCGAGGTGAGCACCGTCTTGATGGCTGGGGTGTCTTGATGGCTGGGGCGTCTTGATGGCTGGGGCGTCTTGATGGCTGGGGCGTCTTGATGGCTGGGGCGTCTTGATGGCTGGGGCGTCTTGATGGCTGGGGCGTCTTGATGGCTGGGGCGTCTTGATGGCCGGGGGGAATGGGCGGCGGAAGGGGTTGCCGCGGAAGGGTTTTTGCGCCGGTCTTGTTCGGGTAGTGATCCTCTCGTGTGGGTGCTTGCGATTACATGGGGCTCGCTGCATCGGATAGACATAACAGGCGAGTGGCAGAAATACAGTAGTGTTGAGCAGATGGTTGATTTTTGATGACAGATCGCATATTCCTCCTTTCAATCAAAACATTGTGTCCGCGCAGGCCATTGCTGCAAATTGCTGCCAATTGCTGGCTTTTCGCACTTGGACTTGAATCCATGTTCCGGCTGCCATAGTCTTTTTGTTTCGTTCCCTCAGCTTGGCTTCCAGCATGCGGTTCAAGAAGTCACACACGGTTCAAGGTCACAGATACAAGCAGGAATGAAGCTCTTCTATCTTACACCGTTATATTGCGTTCGGACAACTTATCAAAACATAATTCGCTGTACTCAGGTTTACATATAGATAGATGCGAAGGGCGCCGAATAGTTTTCACTGTGGGAATAAAATCCTCTCTGTGCCAACATGCATGGGGGCCTCCTTTCTCCACTGGGTGTTTCTGTTTGACTGTCGGACCTGTATGCGCACGTGATTAGTGAGCACGAAGCTGCGTTTTGTTTGCGCTGCATCAGTAAGATGCTACACTTTCGATACCACTATTTCGAACATACCCTTCTGTGTTATCTGGCATAAATCGCCCCATTGGCCAGGAAAGATGATGACGTTTCGCTCTGCCTTCCTTTTTTCTTTTTTTTAGATAATGCTCTGTGCTCGCAGTGGGATTGGGAGGCAACAAGGGCACGTTTGCAATCTGTTTCTTTGGCATGTTGAGTCGCTGTCAACTCCATTTTGCCTCGCGCAAGAAACAGAGTTGGCACAGACGGAAACAGGAGGGGTGAGCCGACAAGGGCAGCTTTTTGTAAAACATTACTGATCTCACTACCTTTCGTGTCATGTCTCCCTGTTGCTACCCTTGGGTAGTTGCTACCTACGGGACAGATGGCCAGTCGCAGTGGGAAAGCTGTCGGTGCTTGACAAACTGCCTCACAAACTGCCTCAAAGGCAGTGCCCGATAAAAAATAATTTTCCACATCCCAAGAAAAAAAAACATCCGCCCACCGGATCAAAAACAACGTTGCCATCCGTCCACTTCTCGCGACCGCACCATCCGTCTTTCCCCTCGTGATCCGCAACCGCACCCCCACTCTCACCACTACATCCCCGACCCACGCGCCTCCGTACCGCCCGATCCCATCCCGTTTCCCCCACGAACAGCTGCCAATTCGCTCGCCAACCGCCCGCCATGCTCTTCTTCTCCTTCTTCAAGACGCTCGAGTCCAAGCTGGTCACCATCGAGCTCAAGAACGACCTCAAGATCAAGGGCGTGCTGCACAGCGTCGACCAGTACCTCAACTGCAAGCTGCAGCAAGTCGAGGTTCTCAACGCCGAGCGCTACCCGCACCTCCTGGCTGTCTCCTCCGTCTTTATCCGCGGCTCCGTCGTGCGCTACGTCCACATCAACCCGTCCGACGTCAACGTGCCCCTCCTGCAGGACGCCAGCCGGAGAGAGTATGGCGAGGGGCGCAACGCCCCCTAGTTTTGCCTGTCGACCCCGCCATTCGCCCGCAATTGTACATAAAACTCATACCTCGCGCACGTCTCGCGCACGTCTACCCCGCCGCACCATTCCGTCGCCTCCGCGCTTGTCCTCTGCCGACGCAAGCTCTACTACACTCTCTCCCCGTCTTTACAAAAAATTTCCGCGGCATCGTCACTTCAAAACTCACTTATTCTTCTCATTAAAGCTCGCCACAAAATCCTCCCGCATGCTCGGCGGGATCTTTGCCAGGTCGATCCCCGCCTTCTCCGCCGCCTCCATCACCTCCCTACTCAACCCGTTTGTCCCGTGCTCCTCGCTCTTCGCCCCACCCTCCTCGCCGTTCCCCTTCTTCGACGCCCCTGAACTAAACCCGGACCCGAACGCGCTCTGCGACGACGGCCTCGCCCCGCTGTTCGCAGCTCTCCCCAACCCCGCGCCGAACCGTTCCTTCCCCACCAAATCGCCTCCCCCCGCCGAGCTTTCCTCAACCTCATCCACCGTGTCTATCAGCACTCCAGGTCCATCTACCATCAGCTCGGCTACCATCTGCTCCACGGACTTGCCCTCCTTCTCCTCATCCCACACGGCCGGAGGCGCCGACCCCACCCTCCTCTCCGTTGCAAACGTCGCCGTACTGTAACCCCCGAAACGTTTCACCGTTGATAACCTGTTGACGATATCCGGCCCGTCAAATGAAAACTTCTCCTCGACAGCCCCCCCGTCATACGGCGTGCTCAAGTTCAAGTCATCGCTGTCGTCCAGATGATACGTACCCGCTATTGGGACGATTTCGGCGTAGCCTCTGTCGCGTAGGATGCGCCCCTTGCGGACGTTGTCTTTTTCGGGCACGAGGGCGAACACGGTCTCGCCTTCGTGGTTCTCGCCCTCCTGGTCCCACGCCATAGTGGCCTTCCACGTCACGTAGCACCCGCCCTGCGCGGAGGTGGGGTCCACGTCCCAGTCGCGGCACAACGACGCGATACGCTCGTCAGTCGGGTCGAGCACCTTCATCTGTATGTTGGATTCCCCGCTCTCTGAGCGGCGGAAGGCTAGATGGTGCGTGACGCGCCACGAAGACCAGCTGCCTTGCCGGTGGCGAAAGAATTCCATCGCGTCGGCGCTCTTAACCGCTGTCATGGCGATGACGGGAAGGGGACGGCGCGGGGATATGGCGGAGGGCATGGATGGACTCCATTGGGGAAGGAAGGACGTGTGCGGCACGAAGGCCATTGGGGGTGATATTCTGTTGACGGAGCGGATGAGGAAGTGCAAACGTGAACTGCTCCGAGCAGAAGAAGGAAAACGACGTTCAGGGTGGGCGCCAGGAACACAGCTGCTGAGCGGTAGGGAAAATATGAAAGGCCAATTTCGGGGGTATTGAGACCTCCGGGAGAAGTCAATTCTTGCCAGCTCGGAGATCAAATCCCCATTGCTGCAGATGCTGCCAGCGTCACCAACACACACACCGCACCTTGCTAGCACAACCATAGCCCCATCGCTCTGGGTAACTGCGCATCCGTACATGGGCACGGGCCCTCTCCCGGTGACGCTAACCGCCCACCCCCTTTGACGATGCAACTTCCGACAGCCTTTGCGACCGCGCCGGTCTTCACGCGGCGCGTCTTTTTCGCCGCCTCCCGCCTCTCACCGCACCGAACTCGCCTGCCTCTCCGCGTTCGCCGTCACGCACACGTCTGCCTCACCGCGAACGCCGCCTCTGCCGCACCCATGCAAACGGCTGCGTCTACGACATCGCCCCTTCGCTACTCGCCAGCGCAGGGAGAAGCGCTGCCGGAATTGCCGCATGTGCTGCGTCCCGAAGGGGACATGCCGTCCCGATACGACCCCTCCATTTTTGAACAGCCTCTGTATGCGTGGTGGGAGCAGGCGGGGCTTTTTAAGCCGGCCAAGCCCAATGGAAAGGAACCTTTTACGATTTGCATGCCCCCGCCGAATGTGACTGGTGGTTTGCACATGGGGCATGCCATGTTCGCGACGATCGAAGATATATTGGCTCGATACCATCGCATGAAGGGCCGTCCGACGCTGTGGTTGCCGGGTACTGACCATGCTGGTATTGCCACGCAGCTGGTTGTCGAGAAAATGCTCGCGAAGGAAGGCATCAAGCGACAGGACATCGGCAGGGAAAAGTTTTTGGAACGCGTGTGGGAGTGGAAGGAGGAGAAAGGCGACTACATTAGCGAGCAGATGAGAAGGTTGGGTGCGAGCTGCGACTGGAGTAGGAGCAAATTCACGCTCGAGAGTCATATGAGTGCTGGTGTAGTTGAGGCGTTCAAGAGACTTCATGACGCCGAACTGGTGTACCGAGGTGATTACATGGTCAACTGGAGCCCTAAGTTGGGCACCGCCGTGAGCGATCTGGAGGTGGACTTTGTCGAGGAGAACGGAAAGTTGTACTATTTTAAATATCCCCTTGCAGGATCTGATGAATTCATCGCGGTGGCCACGACGAGACCAGAGACCATTTTGGGCGATACTGCGCTTTGCGTCCACCCTGAGGACCCGAGATATAAGCATCTTATTGGCAAAAAAGCCCTGGTCCCGATTGTGGGTCGAGAAATCCCGGTAATTGCGGATGAGTACGTCGACCGAGAGTTTGGGACAGGCGCCCTGAAGATAACCCCTGGTCACGACCAAAATGATTACGAGTTAGGGAAAAAGCATGACCTCCCCATTGTGAATATTATGAATAAGGATGCGAGCATAAACTCAAACGGTGGGCAGTTTGAAGGACTAGACCGTTTCGATGCGAGAAAAGAGTTGTGGAAAACCATGGATGAGAAGGGCCTCGTCATCAAAGTTGAGGACCACGTCAATCGCGTGCCAAGAAGCCAGCGCGGTGGAGAAGTGGTGGAACCTTTGATCTCAACTCAATGGTTTGTAAAGATGAAAACGCTCGCTGAACCAGCTCTTGCTGCCGTCCGCAGTAAAGAGATTACTATCGTGCCTGAGCGGTTTGAAAAAGTATATTTCAATTGGCTCGAAGACATCAAGGACTGGTGCATCTCTCGCCAGCTTTGGTGGGGACATAGAATTCCCGTGTGGTATGTTGAAGAACATGCAGGTGAGTATATTGTGGCGCGGAGCGAAGAAGAGGCGCGGCAAAGTGCGTCGGAAAAGTACGCCGGTGAGTCTGTGACACTTCGACAAGAGACTGATGTCCTCGACACGTGGTTCTCTTCGGGACTCTGGCCATTCTCAACGATGGGGTGGCCGAACGAAAAGGCCGATGATCTTCAGTCTTTCTTCCCAGGCTCGGTCATGGAGACAGGGTACGACATTATTTTCTTCTGGGTCGCAAGAATGATCATGATGAGCATTTGGCTTACCGGCAAAATCCCCTTCCATGTTGTGTACCTTCACGGCTTGGTTCGAGATAAAGACGGTCAAAAAATGAGCAAGAGTATCGGGAATGTCATCGATCCTCTGGACACCATCGCGTCGTATGGAACAGATGCGCTTCGGTATACGCTCGTCACCGGAAGCACCCCAGGTCAAGACATTCCACTATCGAACGAAAATGTAGAAGCAAATAGAAACTTTGCAAACAAACTTTGGAATGCGTCTCGATATATTATTGGGAATCTCAAGGATGTGTCAGACGACGAGAAGAAGGAACTGGCTCAGATTGGGGAATCAAAAATCTCAGTTGCATTTGAATCATTGGGGCTGCCAGAGCGATACATCATTTCCAAGCTTCACGTCTTGGTCGAAAAGGTAGATACCGGCCTTCATACCCTCTCATTTGGAGATGCAGGTCGACAGATTTATCAGTTTTTGTGGGATGAGTTTGCGGATTGGTACGTTGAAGCATCAAAAACAAGACTTTATGGCAACGACAGGATTGCTGCGAAGGAATCTCGCGCTACATTGGTGTACGTTATGGATACATGCTTGCGGTTGCTGCATCCCTTCATGCCTTACGTCACAGAAACGTTGTGGCACCGATTTCCGAGAGACAAAGCCGCTGAGCAGTCTTTAATGACAGCTGCCTGGCCCCCGGGTGGATCAATAGACGGCGATTCAATACTACGTTTTGAGAAACTGCAATCTCTTGTTCGCTCCATACGCAACGCTCGTGCGGAGTACCAAGTGGAGCCTGGTCGAAAGATTCCGATAACAGTGAAAGCAGATGGCGTGACTGCCGATGATGTCAAGGCCGAAAAAAGTGTCCTATGTTCGCTGGCGCGACTTGATCCTGATCAATTCCTTGTGGAAGTGATGACAGATGAATTTGCTTCAGCAACAGATGCCGAAGACGATATGGCACTGCGCCTCTACGTTGTAGATGGTTTGGAGGCGGTCATCCCAATGAGCGGGATGATTGATTATGAAAAGGAGCAAAAACGGCTGGAGAAGCAGTCACAGAAGGTCCAAAAGGATTTAGAAGGCTTGAGTCGGAGACTAGCAGCACCAGGGTTTGCGGACAAGGCACCACCAGCTGTCGTGGAAAAGACTAAGGCGTCAGCAAATGAATTGAGTGCACAACTGACCAACTTGAATAAGCGTCTCCAAGAGATTATGCAAATGGCAGCTGAATAACCTCCCAAGGAAGTTTACATAATTGCCTTCCCGTTTATATGGATAGACAGCGGGGGTGCAATGGCAACTTACGTAAACGTTTGGATATATTCGGCCTACAATGATTGCAACTTTGCTGCCGAAGACAGCCTATCCACTAAGGCCGTTTTCTTGGGGTCGTAAGAACTGGTCTATTGCAGCTTGAACTGAATTTTCCAGAAAGGCCTTGCCAGAACCATTCTCTGATTCTTCTCGAGTGCAACGCAACTCAGTATAATACTTGATTTTCGGTTCTTTGTTACAAAACCCCGCATACCAAGCAAATTGAAAGGGAAACACAACAAACGTTAGATGACATTTTAGATCCTGGGTTGCAACCCTTTTGAAGGTAACACCTGACCGCCACCATCAATTGCTTGGTGGTAAGAACTTACCTGTTCCACTCCCTCGAAGATGAATGACCAACGGCGCATCAGAGGAGGATAAATCGCTATCACGGCTACACCGAAGAGTCACAAACTGGCTACTAGGATCTGAAGGAAGTCGTGCCTTCCCGTCTTCTTCGCCTGTGTCTGTCCCCTTTGTTAAATCTCTAACAGTTTTCACGACAGCCCCTCCAAGGTCTCTTGGAAAGCCTCGCGCCCTGGCCTTATCAAACACTTCCGTTGTAGTTGCGCTGGTACTTGTTGTTTTATAATAACCATTTTTGGAGAGGTGAACGCCACATTCATCCATGAGCTCCTCCAGTCGCTGGGTAAGCGTGCTCCCTGAGTCGTGTATCACACCAGCCATCTCTGCGAAGACTGCTGCAGCAGATATTCCATCCTTATCTCGAACTATATTTTGCGTGACGTTGAAACCTAACGCCTCCTCATAGCATAATAGAACTGTTTTCCCTTCGGTCTCCAAATCAAGCGCTTTCTTGTTCAGCCACTTGAAGCCGGTCAATGCTTCATGAAACTCAAACCCTCGCTTTCTGGCCATGGACGTGCATATTTTTGAGGAGACTGTGCTAGCAACCACAGCATAGTTCTGCATGTCCCCTCCCTCAAGCCCTTTCGAAAGGTAGTCGGCAAGTAATATTGCGATTTCGTTTCCAGTAAAGACACGAACCTCCGCCCTTTCGTGTTGCAGTTCAGCAGCACCCAGTCGGTCCGCATCGGGGTCGTTAGCAATTATTACACGAGCTCCACATTTTCGCGCGGTTGCTGTGGCGAGATCCAGAGCACCCGTTTCTTCCGGGTTTGGAAAAGGAAGAGTTGGAAATGCAGGATCTGGTTCACACTGTGCTTCACACGGTATCACGCGCGGAAGTCCAAAGGCCTCGAACATCTCGTTGATGTATTTGTGCCCTACACCATGACAAGCAGTGTACACAACGGGGTTCGTCTTTCCGTTTTCTTCATCTGTACGCCTCCGCAACGCCGACGTGATGGTCCGATAATACGGCCTCTCTATCTGTGACATTGGGTCCAGAACACGATCCGACAGCGTCGACCTTTCAAATGAAGAGTATGTTTTCCACGGACATGCATTCTCTCGGATCGCATCCTCAATCAGCTTTGCTTCCGCTGGCCTTATTTGAATCCCATCTCCCCAAAACACTTTTACCCCGTTATCCTTCGGAGGATTATGGCTCGCCGTCACGCAAAAAGCAGCATTGCAGTCCAGCTTCAGAATAGCATACGCAACGAAAGGAGTAGGAACTGGCCGTGAAAAAAGCCATACAGGTATATCACAATCATCGAACACAGTTGCAATAGCAATAGCAAATCGCTCAGAGTCGTATCTTGCATCGTAGCCTATAACTATACCCTTTTCCAAAGCGCGTTTCTTTCGAAGCACAGCGAGGACACCCTGCGCAACGCCGATCACATTCAGCACATTCAGACGATCATATCCCAACCCGACTTTCGCGCGCACACCGGCGGTGCCGAAACGAAGCCTGTTCGCCGCATCTAGCGCTACCGCGAGCCTGTTTCGAAGATCTGGGTCATCCCTCGTAGACATGTTGTGCAGCTCTGTGCGTAGTTCCGCGCATGTCTTCGGATCTGGGTCTTGCGCCAGCCAGAGACGCGCCATCGCGGAAATTGCAGTGGGTGTGCTGGGGGCAGAGGTCGAGGGAGGGGTTGGCTCTTGGCGCTTCCACTGATCCCGAAAGTAGAGAAACGCCGCGGAAATCCCTACGAAAGCTCCAAAGGACAATACTGCGATGAGGGGGCTTGATTCTTCTGAGTCCTTCGAAGCATCTTTGGACAAGCATTCGTCAAGAAGCGATGGCTCCTCTGAGGCTGACATCGTGCAGCTCAGGACTTGACATTCAAATCATTCCGCCACTGGCGATATCGTACATACGATGCTCACCAGAAAATCTCAATTTGTACGACTAATATCTCCACGCATCATGCTCGGCTTCCTGAAAAAAAATAAGAACTGCCAATGCTTGGCGCTGGAGACAGCTCCGCGCCGTTCTGCTCTATGCCAGTGACAGCTTGCTAAATGATTCATCGCTACACATGTAATACTACTTAGTATTGATGTCTCGGTACCAGCTACCAATTAGGCTGGTTGGGATAGCGAAAGCAGCTCTACGGAGGTGGCAGCGCTTGAAACCAGAATAGAGGAAGTAATGAAGCTCCAGTGTCTTTTCGACAACGCCGTATCAGAGAAAAGCCCACTATATATACGATAGTTCAGTAGTGAATGGGTTGCCCAACGACATATCCCGATCAAAGGTCTTTACGCCACACTCTAAGGAACGTCTCGGGCCGCCCTGACTTCATCCGAGTACAAAGATTTCCATAGCTCCTACTGTTGTTGGTGCCAGGTTGTAGAGAGGACGGGAATGAAATAAGGTATCTCCACCTACCGGCCCACTCAGGTAGACAGATCCTGCTTTCCCGACCGAAGCGTCTACTCCATATTCTACGCAACGGCAGCCGCAAAGAAGTGTAGCGATTTCGTTTCATGTTATTCTACTCGAAGAACCAGAACTTTAAGCTCTCAAATGTCACAATTTCGCTCGCAGATGTATGACCTTCCAAAGAGGATCGCTAAAGGCTTCGCAGATATCTCACCTTCTGTTCTAAGTGTTTCTGAAAACAAATCTGATAGTCTTTCCGAAGTTCGTATCTAGAAGATCGATTTCCTATCTTCGACCAGCATGATAGGAGGGCGCCCTGTGCCGGCTGTCACTTTTTTCTCGGGCATAAGCCCCCGTATTCCTCGCGATACCTTTCGGTTACAGTAGGACTCGTACAATCGCAGGGCCTAAGGAGGCTAATGCAATCATGCTGACTAATGCCATCTAGTTTAATATCCAAAGAGTTGCGAATAACATCACTGCTGTCCCTTATGTCGTATTTCAGGGCACCCCTTCTTCAGTATTTTCGTAGGGCTTTATGATGGCATGTGGCTTCGTATCAACCAATACGAATATGCGCGCAACTCATGTTCCGTTTCTCTGCGACTACTTTCCAATTTTTGAGTAAGATAAACGAACAACTATTAACTTCGTTTCATTCTCCACACCGAACTATACAATATTAGGCACTTCCCCTAATTCGAGATATCTGTGTTGTTGTATATCACTTTCAAATCATGTCAGAGATTAAGACGATGCGGGGAGAAGAAATTCGTTCATTCTGCTGTGAATTTGGACGACTACGCTTCGCAGCGGTTCTGTTTTGTGGTTCATGCCCATGAGTGTCGACGAATGCCTCTATTTTCAGTCGCAACAACTTGTTCACTTGTGTCCTGAAGTTTTTGATACCTCCTTTTGACGATATCTCGCAAATGTGAGTTTTTACAGTTTAAAGCATTTGAGCGTTTTGTTTTGCTTCAGCTTGCTTTTGGTTTCAAGGCGAGTAGGCAACTTTTAAAATCACTTCCCTGGCTTCTATTTCTGGCCCCACTTTGTTTTAACTACTGTTATCACGGTGATTGTAGCTTCTGTCAACGAAATGTAATGCTATTAAATGCAACGAAGGAGATGGTTCGAGTAGGAAGAAGGAGTGTAGTGGATGAAAGAGGAGAAATGGGGTGACTACCCGTGGGGGGTGAGTATAGGAAAAAAAAGACCTCACTGCGCTGAGCTTTTAGTTTCGCTCCGTCCTTTGCACGTCGCGGAAGCAAACGCGGGGCCTCGTAGGTGTGCACTACCAATTACCCTGGATTTTCCACTGCAGCACAAACTCTATCAACGGAATCTGCGGCAATAAAGTATCTGCGCTGTTAGACTTTGCCGTAAAAGGGAGTTTTGCTTTTGTTTATTCCGCTATTCTACTTTCTTATCTTATGGCAGAACCTCAAGGTATCTATACAAAAAATGTGCAGCGAAACATCACTGCTTATGTACCCTTTTACGGAACCCTTCTGTTGAAGGGTAACGATTCAGTCTCTAAATGTGTTTTGTTAAGCACGATTTACTGTATTGGGCACACCATGCTTATTTTCGGGTTTCCGATAGCAGCTTTGTTTCATCTGATATGGTGTTCTATACAAATTTCCAAATGATTGTAGCACCAGGTTTCAACATGCGCGACCGGTCTTTTAATGTGATGCGTCCCGTTCTGTAGTGACCGCGTAATTTAAAATTGACCAGCGTATTACAGTGAAAGAAAATATCTCTCTCGCGCGCGAATGCTGAGAAGCACCACCCTTAAACGAATGGATTGGAAGTGCATTGCAAACAAGTGAGAACCAATTGATGGTCTTTTTAGTCTGAAAACAAAAACGGAAATAAAGAAAGAGATAGTCTGCTTGAAGGGTGCGAGGAAGGATTGTGTCTTGTTCTCTGTTCAATAAAACTGAGAGACCTTTTCTTTGTCGTCTTGTCATCAGGACATTTTCGTGTTTTTATTTGGGGCGCTGGACAAACATTTGTTGGATATGGGGGGTGCGGGTATCTAAACAGAGCCAATGGTGATTTGAAGGAGAGGGATGCGTTGCGGGGATACTGGGGAAGACTTGGTTGTAGAATTAACGGCTCAATGTAATACTTGTAATACTCTGACACGTGGAATGGCATCGTTTGGGACACGTGTGCACTGTAGTTTTCGAATAATAATGGTGAAAAAGGCCGTTTTTTTCTGCCCAATTTTGGAATCTTCCCACCTCATGCGTTTCCGTTTCCGCTTTTGTACATAGGGAAACGTTTGCACCCGACCGCATCTTTCTCACACCCTCAACAAATTGCCGACGCCTCTTCTCGCTTCCTTTCGGCCAACTCGACCAGACCCCGTGCACTCCTCCTCTCCTTCCGCCTCGTTTCCAGGGCCTCGCCGTCTTCCCCTCCTCCCTTGTATCTGCGCCTGTCGTCTGCCGCGCCCCGTACCCCGACCAGCATGTCCGCCCGCCCGCCTCCACCCCCGACCGCAGCCTCCCCGCCCTCGCAGCCACATGCGCATCAGGTGCAAACGGCGCAGCCTCTGGTCAACGTCAGAAGGAGCGAGCTCAACGATGACCTTGCTCAGGTCGAACTCGGCGCAGATCTCGACGTAAGCGAATCCATACCCTACCACTTGCCCTGCCCCATCATATGCTGACGGGATGATGTCACAACTTGCTAACCGCGTGAGAGGATGCGTTTTATGCGACTTTTTGCCACGCGATAGCGCTTTGAAGAAATGTATATGAAGGAGTGCATGAAGACACGCCCGGATCCCACGGCAAAGTTCAACTACGCTTGGGCCCTCATCCGTTCGAGAGAGGTAAGGACTCGTACACACCGCCGGTCTTTGAGAAGTCCCTCGTTTTAGACTCCGGATTCGGCGGCACAGGTCGCGTCTTTATACAAGCGCGCCTTGACCGCATAACCCTCGCGACATTATGCTTAAATCACGCGCTGACCACCTACTCCCACTTCTGGTCTCTCCCCCAACCATTCCAACTGCCAAAGCGAGCGAACATCAAAAAAGGTGTGATAATGATGCAAGGCCTTTTGGAGGACCGCTACGCTGACCGTGATTGTCTCTACTATATGGCTCTGGGTTACTACAGGCTGGAAGACGTCGTCTCCAGCCGTAAGTGTCTGGACAAGCTTCTCAAGATCGCCCCTAACTGTCGGCAAGCCATCTCGCTCATGGACATAGTCGAAGACAAGATCACAAAAGACGGCGTCATCGGCATCTCTATCGTCTCCGGCATCGCCGTCGTCGGCGGCCTGCTCGTCGCCGCGCTCGCCGGGGGAAGAGCCAACCCCAGATAGTGTCCCTCTTTCATTTTCTTATTTGCATCGTAACATTCCAGCCCGCCACGAGTATGCTAGCGCAGCGCCCAGCGCCCGGTTTAGTTGTAAACAGTCACACGCGTGTTCACCAGGCGGCTGCCGAGCACGCCGTCGCCGCTGTTCTCGTCATTTCACGAACCGGTCATCCCTTCTTCACTTGCTACCTCTGCGTATAACCCTTCGATATACCCTCGCTTCTCCCTACGATGCACTACCTCATCCTCCCGTTTCCCTCTCACGAACCGGAGCTGCATCTCGCTCGCCTCATGCACGACCTTGCGTATATACCGTACAACCTCCTTGACAGCCTCCCCTTCCACGCATTCCAGCGCGCCAGCAACGGCCTCCGCTGTCGAGCGCGCGCCCGGCACGTTAGCGACAGGCGGTTTCCTCGCGCGAAACAGGGCGTCCCCTAAGAACTCCTGCGGGACGAACGCGCGGCGGAGCTGCTGCAGCGCCGGCGCCCGGCGCAAGAAGCGGCGCGCGGAGTCCCACGTGCCGTCGAGAAGGACGAGCGTCGCGCCCGGCGCGGCCACAGCGTCCAGACGGACCGCGCGCGGGCCGGGGAAGAGGAGGATGGCGTCGGGCGGCAGATGCAGAAGAGAAGAGAGGCGCGCCGGGAGGAGGGCAAGGTTGGAGAGCAGGGGCGGGAGAAGCGTCGCCGTACGGACTTTGGCCTTGCGTTCGGCGGCCGTTTCGAAGATGGTTATGGACGTTGATGTGGCGAGCGGCGTCGGCGGAAGGTGCGCGCAGAGACAGACGGAGACGGGGCGCGCGCAGCGAGGGCATGTGCGACGTTTGCGCGGGGTCGAGGGGGGAGACGGAGGAGGGGGAAGGCGTGAGGGGGATGCGGATGGAGCTGTGGAAGTCATAATGAAGACGGGACTGACCGTACTTCGGCTGCTGGTTGGAATCTGGACGGGGGTCGTCGTGCGGAGGAGCGCGACCTACTGGCAGGTGGGGACGATGGCAGCATTCTGATCGCACTTGGATCAAGTTCGTTTATCAACGGAATGACGCACGGAGAGCAGAAAGCTTGCTGCCGAAATTAAGTTCTGAAACATGCCCGCAGCGCCCAGAAAGCAAACATCGCTGGACACATGTCGTCGGCGGTGGCGTAGCTCCTCCCCATTGCCCCCGCCATCGTCGCAAACCCGCACCTGAGTTGCCCTCTTCTCTCTCCCTTCCCTCCCCCACGCTCACATGCCGGCAAAATGGACGTTGACCTAATGTTTCTGCAAGAGCGGTGCCGCAAGGACCCTCTCTCCTACCGTGACGACTTCCTGACGCAGCATCGCCACTTTACGGCCCTTCTCACCACCACCTCTCTGCGCCCGTCCGCGCCGGCCCCGCGTCTCACGGAAGTTGCCTCCTTCATGGGCGCTGTCTCTCACTGTTACGAACCCACGAAGCCTGCCGTCGCCCCCTCCATCGCCGCCCTTCTCACCCAGTCAGGCCCGGCCATGCACCCCGACACCCGCCGCTCCCTGGTCAAGCTGCTCGCCCTGCTGCGCGCGCGCGGCGGCGCGGACCCCGCCCTCGTCATTCCACTCTTCTTCAGGCTCCTCGTTTGTAACGACAAAGTCCTCCGCGGCATGCTGCACGGCCATATCGTCAGTGATATTAAGAAGCTCCAGGCGAGTGGCCACTCGTGTCGACGGCCGCTGCAGACGTTTTTGTTCGGTATGGTCGAGGACAAGAGCGAGGTGCTCGTCAAGCGCAGCTTGCACGTCCTCGTCGACTTGTTTCGCAAGAAGATATGGAACGACGCTAAGTGTGTCAATATGATCGCCACGGGCTGCTTTCACCCCGCCACCCCGGTGGCGATCATCGCATCAAAGTTTATTCTGGACTCGGAAAGCAAGAGCGCCGACTTGGACTCCGAGGATGAGGACGACGACGACAGGGACAGATCGAAGAACAGTTGCGACGGGCAGAAGGCGTCCAATATGTGGCGCGCGTATAACATGACAGGCAAGAAGAGCTCCAAGAAGCGCAAGCGCATGGAGCGCGTCATCAATCGCCTCACGCGGGTGAAGAGCGTTGCAAATAACGGCGCCGTGGTCGAACATAAGCCGGGCCATCCAGCCTTTGAGGCCATGGTGCTCATCAATGATCCGCAGGAGTTCGCGGAGCGGCTCTTTAGCGACCTGCAGAACCGGAGGAGGAAGGAGAGCTTTGAGAACCGACTCGTTTTTATCAACCTAATCTCGCGGTTGATGGGGACACATGAGCTTATCTTGTTCAACTTTTACCCGTTCCTGCAGCGCTATTTGCAACCGGCGCAGCCAGAGGTTACCCGTGTGATGGCATATTTGACACAGGCTTGTCATGATATGGTGCCATCGGATGTGCTTCATCCTATACTGCGCGGGCTGGCGGATAGTTTTGTATCAGAGCGAAGCTCACCGCCGGCGATGGCAGCAGGCATTAATACGATACGGGCGATTTGCGCGAGGGTGCCTTTGGCGATTTTGGATGGAGAGAATGAGGATAAGCCGGAGGCGGAGCAGGAGGCGCCATTGCTCCTGGATCTGGCACAGTACAAGACGTATAAGGACAAGGGGGTTATGATGGCTGCGCGGTCTTTGATTGGGTTGTATAGAGAGGTGCACCCGGGTTTGCTTCACAAGAAAGATCGCGGCCGCGCTGGGGCTGAAGCTGTGCAGCATGGGGCCTCGGCGAATGCAAGGGCGTACGGAGAGCTCAGATACGCGACGGGGGTAGATGGCGTGGAACTCCTGGCCCAGCCAGACTCTGATGATGAGCTCGAAGATTCTGAGGGCGAGCCAGAGGAAGTGAGAGGCGAGAAAGACATTTCAGAGGAAGTGGATAATGCTGATGCTGGTGATGGTGATGGTGATGGTGATGGTGATGATGGTGGCGAAGAGGACGATGACGACATTCACAAAAACAAATCACGATCCGACGCAAATGATGATTCTGGAACTGCAGAGGCTGCGAAGCTCTCAAATGACGTTGAAGATGATTCACAGAGCATGGGACAGGAGGGAGAGGGGCGCAAAGACGCGATGGAGGTGCTGTCCAACGAGGATTTTGCCAGGATTCGTGCGCGTCAGGCAACACAAGCTCTCGGGGGCAATGCGCTCACAGCCAATACCGGCAAGGCTGTAGACCCCCAGGAACTTCAAGGCCCGATCAAACACGAGCGTAAAACGCTATCCGAACGGCTCGAAAGTGTGATCGAAGGGAGGGAAGGGCGGGACAAGTTTGGGAGTCGCAAGGGGCAGAACAAGGGCGGGGGTAGCACGAATAAGAAGAAGCTGAAGACGAAGTCCAACTCGATGGTCATTCACAAGCGTCGGAAAGGGAGCAAAATTGGTCGAAGGGAGAAGCAGCTGTCGAAGAGGAAGAAGAGGGATTACAAATAAACAAGTAAAAAGTTTTCTTTTACAGTAATCTATCCGAAACGGACATATGAATAAGCGATAAACAACCGAAGACCTTACTAGTCAGCAACACGACCAAGACAAACGCCACCCTTCAACCATCCATCTGAACACAAGGGACAAAATTGGACATAAACGCAACCTCAAGTCTCAAACACGACGTTAGCCAACTTGACCCAATTTCGCTTTAACCGATGAGTAATCTCGACCTTGACCGAATTAATGGCCGCGCCCGACCCCGTCATCCTCAGTCTCGCAGTCGGCACGGCGCTATCCTTGAGCAGCTCGATCAGCTCAATAGTGCCCCCCGCGACGTTCAAAAACGGTCTCACTTCATCCAGCGTGCCCTCAATGCCCTCTTCCGACAGCGGGATGCCGTCCGGCTCGACCTGGACGACGGCCTCGATCTCCGGAATCCTCTCTCTCAAGCGGCGCTCGAGCCCCATCTTCATGGTCATAGTCGAGCTCGGGCACGAGCCGCACGCGCCCTCCAGCTGCAGCTTGACCGTGGCGCCGTCGATGTCGCTCACGGACACGTTCCCGCCGTCGGACATTAGGTACGGGCGCATCTCGTCCAGCACCGTCTCGACGTTCGCTTCCGTCAGCTCTAGGATCTCCGTCTTGGAGGGGTCCGACGTCCTCGTGGGCACCGGCGACACCTTGGGAGAGGCCTCCACCATGACGAGCGCGCGGCGCATGGCGCGCGGGCGCGCGCGGTGGGGGCGCCGCGCCGCGGCGGGAGGCGTGAGGGAGGGGCGCGTGGTGAGGGCGAGAGGGGTGGCAAAGGCAGCGGTGGACGTCATTGTGAAATGGGAGGGTGGGGGGCGGAGGGACGGTGGAGTTGCAGTGGGCGACGGGGAGGCAAAACAGGGGCGTGCAAAGGAGGTCATGGAGGCCGTGCGGAAGAGCGAAGGGGGGGGGGGGGGGGGCCGTTCCCCTTTTTTTTCCGCCCGGGCCCCCCCGGGGACCAACCCAGATTTGCCCCCCCGGCCACCCTGGGGGCCC